TTTTTTTTTTTTTTTTTTTTTTTTTTTTTTTTTTTTTTTTTTTTTTTTTTTTTTTCTCTTTTTTCTCTTCTTACATAATCAGAGTTTAGTTCCGTACAACAATCCTAGAGTCAGAAAGTCAATATTCTGCCACGTGGACCTGCCACGTGGACACAAGCGAATATGAGAAAATTTTTAATCAATCCAACTATTATTTTAAAAAATTTTACTTATCTATATATAATTTAAAAAAAAAAAATTACTTAGGTGTATATATATATTACACTAATAATTAAATATTAAATAATTGATATCATTCATATCAATTACAAGCGTAAAATATTATAGTTCGATGATTAAATCCCACGTCGACTAATTTAGGAAATGATCTTGGGTTTATAATCCATTAATACTATCTACATTGGTATGAGGCCTTTTGGGGAAATCCAAAGCAAAGCCACGAGAGCTTATGCTCAAAGTGGACAATATCATACCATTATGGAGAGTCGAGAAGTTGAGCCTCGATTAAGGGGGAGACGTACTTTGTTTGAGGGGAGGTGTTGGATGATGAAAGTCTCACATCGACTAATTTAGGGAATGATCATGGGTTTATAATCAATGAATTCTCTTTAGGGGAACCCCAAGCAAGCCTATTTTCGAGTTTGGTTGAATTGTAACCCTATTTTCGAGTTGGGTTGGTTATCCCTATAAAAAAATTTCAATCCGTGAACTTACTCGAAATTTTCAATTTATGAGAAATTCAACCTAACCTAAAACGAAAAAATCTAACTCATTCCAAACTTTTTATAATTTGGGTTAGGTAGTCTGAGTTGATCGGGTTATTGAGTCATATGTGTTGGATGAAAGTCCCACATCGGCTAATGATCAAAACCATGAGAGCTTATGTTCAAAGTGGACAATATGGGTTAGATAGTCTGAGTTGATCAGGTTATTGAGTCATATGTGTTGGATGAAAGTCCCACATCCACTAATTGGAATGATCAAACCTACCAGAGCTTATGCTCAAAGTGGACAAATGACAGGTTTGTATATATTTTTTTTTTTTTGGGTAAATTATATGAAATAACTCTTAATTAAGCCCAACCGGCTGGACCTTAACTTCGAAGCCGAAGCTGCGTACGAGTCCATCCACAGTATGGCCCACCTCCAGCGAAGCGTGAGCCCACGCATCCTCGACCCACCAGAAAGCGCGGCCCAGCCAATCTTTGCACGCAACCAAGCCTACCGAAGAACCGGACGGCACTACGAGCCATCACCGGCAGGCGCAATCCAAACCTTGCAAACCAAGCCCTTGGTGCACACTCGACTCGCCTTAGATGTAGCATGTGTGCGAGCTACTCTAAGCTGTGAACAACCCTTTTACATGATATAATTCTATATTACAATTTGTTAGTGTTTTTATGTGATCATCTAATGGTGCACCATGTAAGCACGTCTCGATTGGGAGTTTCAAGTTACTATATATATAGCTTTACCAGATATAAATCTCTACACAGTATAATCTCTATTTTACTGTACATAGTTATTTACTATGTATGACAATTAGTCGACAATTTACTTTATAGGTCATTTACCACTTTAATACTTATAACGTTGACTAAGCTATAAATAAGCATCAGGATCTATAACCTAACATGATATGAGCCAAGAGATATTAATCATACAATATGCTTCAATGAAGATGTGAAGAAAATATGTTGAAATTATCAAAAGATATTTCAATTCATGCCACATTGAAGTCATTAAGTATGAATGTTACAACTCTTGGAATGTCTTTAATAGTTTCATTTTGAGTCTATATAAAGCCAGGTATGTTGTATTTGTAAGAGACTTGAAAAAATGTAGTAAAATGAGCATTTGTGCTTTCTTAGCCAATGACTGAGTTTCTTTGCAATTCTATGTAGTTTAGGTTACATGTAGAATCATTCAAGCTCAACATGATCAATCTTGCTTGTGGAGTGATTCGAATCTCAAACAATGTTCTTGTGTTGAGATGTTTGATCAACAAGAATCATTCAAGCTAGACATGATCGATCTTGCTTGTGGAGTGATTCGGATCTCAAACAATGTTCTTGCCTTGAGATATTCGATTAACAAGGTAATCCGAATCTTATTCCCCTTGTATTGATTCCTTATCTAATCATAACAGTACGTATATGAATGTGCATAGAGAAGTACTATGCATCCAACCATGCTTAAAAATGAAAGTAGAGCCTAAGGAATAGTCATAAAAAGAAACTATGTTGCATGTGATTGCATTTCTCGACTCTGACAGTAGAGTCACTTAATATTTTTAATCACTCGTCTTATGTCTAACATTTTTCTAAATAAGGCAAGGGCCCTATATACGGATGATGGCATTAGCCGAGAAAGCCATGAAATCAAGTCCAATTAATTAATTTTCGGCACTTAGGTCATAGTCCTTTAAAATCGAAGCATTGGCTTTACTATCATGTGTGTAAAGATTGGGCAGCATTCCGGTCTTAAGAAAAGTCATCCTACCCGACCATATGTCCTGTGACGTACCAAGCTTTCGATCACTCTGTTAGATCCAAGACACGTCTCTCACTAACTTCTCTTTCTTAGTAGACATGGTAGAGAATGAATGTACTCAGGAGTCCTTACGACATTAGGAAAACAATTCAATCCCACAGTAGAAGAGAACAAGAAAAGCTCGTACCAACAAGGAGCAATCCTCTTTTGGGGTGGAAGGACTCGACAGAAGACCGGGGTTTGGAGGGAACTACTAAAGGGATGTGCATAAAAAGGTCCTTCGATGAAAGTCTCACCGGCTAATTTAGGGAATGATCATGAGTTTATAATCAAGAAATACTATCTCCATTGGTACGAGGCCCAAAGCCATGAGAGCTTATGCTCAAAGTGGACAATATCATACCATCGTGGATAGTCGGGTTCAACTAACATGGTATCAGAGTCATGCCCTAAATTTATTCATGTCAATAGAAACTCAAATGTTGAACAAAGTATTGTGAGCCTCGAAGATATAGTCAAAAGTGGCTAAAGTATCGAACAAAGAGTGTACTTGGTTCCAAGAGTCTGAACACTCCAATTATTTAAATATATTTGGTTCGGAATAATTAAATAATTAAAATAGGAAAGAAAATAAATAAAACTCTGATTCTCATCATAATAACATCATATCCGCCTTTGATGGCAGTCTCTTGAAGAAATTGACCGGAACGGACGGCAACTTCCTCCTCAATCTCGGGTGCCGGAGCAAATACAGTCCGATCAGAATCGCCACCACCTGAAACGGCGTGACATAGATGAAAACCGCCCACATCAACGAGAAGATGATGAACAATGCCGTAGCCCTCGGATCCCTCCACCCGAGAATCGCTTGAGCCCTTTCCCCTTGCGTCGCCAAATCTCCTACCACTGTCTGCACTTTTCCGGCTACGCTACGTAGTCGGTCGTACCTCATCCTCACTGTGTCGATATGCTTTGTCGTCGGGAAGTTGTCGAACTCTTCCTCTAGCTCGTCTGGGAGAGCGTGCTCAGCCTGCGACAATCTCGCGTCCATGTGCGGTGGATTCATCGGCCGGAACCGGTAATTCCAAATTCCAATCACGAACAGGTAAAGGAAGACCGTCGGGAGGATTAATTCGGGGTAGCAAACGAGAATGAAGAACAGCACATGAACGAGGCAGGTTGTGATAGGGTTTTTCCAAATGCATACATCGTTGAACCATCGGTAAATCGCGGTGATTCCCGAGAGAAGCAACATTATCCGATTGAAATTCGCTTTGCTTCTTCTAAGGCTAAACATGTGGTAATCGACATCGAGCATGTACTCCACTGCCTCTCGCCGCAGTGGTGGCTCAGCACGGGACAGCCTAGTCGCTACGATGTTCATCGCGTGGAAGCGGAGTAGATCCATGTGTCGGACAGGGATTGGCTGTAGGTAGTGCATTTTCGGCAGTAATGGCTTCCCGTACTGTGTCAGCATATTGGCCCAGGCCGTGCAGGTGAATCTCAGAGCCAATTGAAGCTCGCCGTGCTTTTTCAAGCCAGAGGGCTGAAGAACCAACAAGGGGTAATAATGCGTATATACTTTGTCTATCTCTAATGTGGATAACCGAATCCTTACTTTACCGATTCTCTGGTCTTTTGCGTCCTCTTTGCTTCCATTTGTGTGAGCGTTGTCGAATACTCCGATTGTGATTACAGTGCAGGGATCGTAGACTTCCCAGGTGTACTGTTCGTTCCAGCGAGGGGCGAGGGTTTCCAGAAGAGTTCTGGTTCGTACCCATTTGTTGCCGTATTTGGCCACACAGTAAGCATCTGTGGTTTTTCCTTCTTTGCTCTTCATTGGAAGTAGATTTCGAGCGCTCAAAATCCCTAACTCGAGTACTCCGATGCTGTCTTTTCTCAGGATTTTGGAGGATGGTTGAAGGTCGCTGCTGAAATGAGTTGATTCGTCAAGAACATGGTACCCTGAGTCGATCCAGAGACGGACATGGATCTTGCTGGAGAATTTCTCCTTCTTTTTCTCTGTTTCTTCTAATTGAGCGATGAATGGGCGGTGGAGATTGTACCAGCGGGCGTCAGGGAGCTTTGTGGACTCGATTCTCTGTGGAACTTCTCGTGATGGGACGATCACTCTCCCAAGAATCTCCGCTGTTCCTCTGTCTTCAACAGTGATGATGATGAAATCTTCAAATGGCTCGGGCGCTACAAACATCAGCTCCTCGTTCCAAACTGGGTTGATCACTCGCATCTGTGAAGGTTTGGTTACTTTCCCCTGATTGCAAAATTGTATTCTTACGAATGTATCTGGTGGTTTGGATTTGTCTGATGGGATGAGATCTTGAGCTTCGATCACTTGGGCTCTTAGATAGTATAGTTTAGGAGAGAAATAGACCTTTGATCTTGTGTTAGCAAGGTTGCCATGGCTGACCCTATGAGCATCAGAATGCCAAGCATCAGAGAAAAACTCATCCGCCTGAGTACCCATCCAAACCGCAAGCATCACTTCCCCCTTTGCTTTGATGCCTTTCTTGTCCACTAATTTGTACCATTGAGGAGCCAATGGACTATCTGGAGGTACTCTCAATGGAGCCTCGGGGATATCAAAGAAAACCCTCCCCACAAAATCATCCTTCCCCAAATCCTTGTCTTTCACGGTTACTTCCAGTAAGCTTGCTTGTAATGTCTCTTTTGCAAACGCAAAAATCTGCTTCCAAACTGGGTTTTGATTCTTCTCCAAGTGCTTTGTGACTCCTTTGTAGTTCCCTACTTTCACTTCCACATATGGGTCTAAACTCCCGGAAACATCCATTACAGGGAGGTCTTTAGCTTTAACCACGTTTACATATAGAAAATGCATTTGCTCCACCATGTCGTAGGTGCTGATGATCTTGTCTTTTCCTCTGTAGCCGTACCGCAATCTTGCTGCTAATGGGGGGCTGGTCTCCACCAATGCGTACTCTGGATTTTGCTTTGGAGCTGGTAAATGCATTACTGTTGCTGGAGATGGGCCTGCTTGAGCGAAGTCCATCCGCGTCGCCATTGGCTGTGGCCACTTGAATTCTGTCGGTGGAGGAGCCACCGACGCCGCAGTCGCAGCCGGGGCTGCCCCTATGGAGTGGAAGGTCTTGACGTCCTTTTCCTTCTTCTTGGGCACTTGTAATTCCTCCTGATCGAATATGTTGGGGTTGATTTCTTGCAGGGGAGTTTCGAAATGGGCAGTTTGTGGCGGCGGCGTCGAATCATCATCGTGAGTCAGATACATTCGAAACCCAATATCGCCTTTGATATGAGAGAAAAGACCACGTTTATCAAGTGGGTATCTCTGGATGTTAGCGTCCTGTTCAGAACGGGGCACCGACATGCCGGAGATTCTGACACGGCCGAGAAAATCGCGGCGGTGGCCGGATTTCCTGTCGTTATAAACCACGACATCGATGGTGGTGTTGGGGAATTGTCGAGGGTCGGTGATGTTGAAAACGAGATTCTCATTCCAGCAAGGATTGAGATCGGTGTGTATGGTACGAGTCCTCTGTTTCTGGTTGCCAAAGTCGACCTCGACAAAGGGGTTGGCAGAGTCGCCGTCCTTGGGCATAAGGTCGCCGGCGTCGAGGATTTGTACAACGAGCTTGGTCATCGGAATCTGAAACAGAGGAGTATGAAGAAGAAGAAGAAGAAGAAGAAGAAGAAGAAGAAGAAGAAGAAGAAGGAAGAGTGAGAGTAGTAAGGAGGAGGAGAGACACGATGGCGGCGGCGGCGGCGGGGAAAGGAATCGGCGACGATGAGAATGAGAAGCTCATCTGGGGGAGTGGGAGTATGAAGAGAGATACCATCCAGATGGTTTTAGAGAGGGAGAGGGAGAGGGAGAGGGGAGGAGAGAATTTGTTCGTTTGTGTGTCTGGTTGCGGTAAAGTGGAGTGCGATGGAGACAGATTCTTGTGCGTTGATAACTGTTTGTGAAGAAGCCTTCTTTTGGGGCTTACTACATACCCCATGTGAACAGGTGCGTAGTGATAATAATTCATGGTGGCGTTAGATCAAAATAATGGTTTTATACGTATTTTTCTAATTAATACTTCTACTCACGATTTTATCCTCAGATGGATCACCCTTCAGAGACTACGAATGTAATAGGAGCAGCATCGTCGACAAAAGGATCACCCTAAATTGATCATCACATGGCTATTGACTACGTCAAATCAGATGGTTCTATTTCTTAATCTTTCGACTTGTTCCTATGGAACTAAGGTAAAAAAGATTGAGAAAAATCAGTCATTTTGTGATGTCCAACGTTGGTTGGGGAGGAGAACAAACCACAATTTATAAAGTGTGAAAACCTTCCCTTAGGAGACGGGTTTTAAAGCCTTGAGGGAAAGGCCGAAAGGAAAATCTCAAAGAGGACAATATCTGCCATCAGTGGATCTGGGCCGCTACACATTTACATCCACATGAGGAATGGATTCAGTCTTATACATTCGTGAAGAAGGTATGAGGTGTGAGTTATTCTTTCTTTTATCACTTAGCTTAGGAGTCGTGCGAATAAAAGTATCCTACATGGTTTAAAAAAAAAAAAAAAAAAAATTAAAAAGATAATATTGAAAATTTTAAATTTAAAAATATTTTTTAAAGTCAAATTAAAGTATTTTTATTAATTTAGCACATTTATGATAACAAATATTCATTAAAGGTTCATTCCTTTACCCAGAAGGAAAAGGAAGAGAGAAAAAGAAAATAGAATATCCTTGAGTATTTTCTTTTTTTCGGTTTGCTTTGCATCAAATTCCTTCTCCATGTGGTTTTGCCTTTTATAAAGATGAGATGAGAGAAGCAACTAACAACAAATTATAATCGAGTTTATCGTAAAAATTAAATGATATTATGCACTTAGAAACTACCATTTCCTATCAGACTCTAGGCCACCAACTACGTGGACTTCAAACTTGACGGGATAACTTGAGTGTTGTGTGAATGGCACGTTCATTTGTGGTTTACTGTTTCATTTTTTTTTTGTATATTATAATATGATATGTTTTAATTATGTCATATTATGAATGTATGTGATGCATGTACTTTTCGTGTGTCAACTCATGTATGTTATGATATTATGTTCATGTTGTGTTTATGAGACATTGTTGAGTCATATATGATAATAATAAATTATATGTCATGTATACGTACTCTCGTCTCATATAAAAATTATGTCATGAAAAGAATGGAAGTATGATGTGCATCATAACCATGTACCCTGCTATAAAATTATGGGACCTCGTGTTGTATGTCACGAGTACGAGATAATTTCTCATATGTTTTGTATGGATACATACATCATGATATGATACACACTATCGTTCTTTTTTCATTGGTTGTCGACAGTGTGATCGTACGCTAGCCCGTAGTTAGACTTAGGATACGTAGACAAGTACTATGTATCCAACCTTACTCGAAAAAGAAAGTAAGCCCAAAGAATAGTTACGAAAAGATAGGCTCCACAATGAATTATGATTGCATGCGATTCTATTTCGATCTTATGTACACTTTATTGGTTACATTATTGGCCTTTCATTTCCTTGAGTATGATATACATGTCCCAATCGACTCAATAATTTTGCTATTCAATTTATTTAATTGCGCTACAAACATTCATTTATATACTTACTTTAAATTCTCTCATTCAAACTTCTACTACATATTTTTATGATCAATTTTTTTCCTTTTAATACAACAGCAACTCAGATTCCTTCGCCCCCGAGATGCATGATCTTCAAGCTCATCACCTTGTGTGATGTTCCATATTAGTTGGGGGAGGAGAACAAAACACCTTTTATAAGTGTGTGGAAACCTTCCCCTAGCAGACGTGTTTTACAGTCTTTAGGGGAATCCCGAAAGAGAGTTAAAAGAGGACAATATTTGCTAGCGGTGGATTTGAGTCGTTACAAATGGTATCAGAGCCAGACACCGGACGATGTGCCAGCCTTCTCGCTGTTCCCTGAAGGAGGGTAGACACGAGGTGTTGTGCAAGTAAGGACGTTGGGCCCCAAAGGTGGGTAGATTTGGTGGTGGTCCCACATCGATTGGAGAAAGGAATGAGTGCCAGCGAGGACGCTGGGCCCCGAAGAGGGGTGGATTGTGATGTCCCACATTGGTTGGGGAGGAGAACAAAACATCCTTTATAAGGGTGTGGAAACCTTCCCCTAGCAGACACGTTTTAAAGCCTTAAGGGGAAGCTCAAAAAAGAAAGCCCAAAGAGGACAATATTTGCTAGCGGTGAATCTGGGTCGTTACGCCCTAGTACCGTTGCTCGTCCTCTAGTTTCAAGAAAAAAGAGTTTCAGCCGCTTCCCTCCATAAAAACAATAGAAGACAAGGATTCAAGTTTTATTCGGTGGGACAAAAAAGGAGACTATATATGAAGATTTAATTCTCTGAGCATAAGAAAAAGAGTATATATTAATTATCGCTGAGCTATAGTCACTTTAGAAAAATAAAAGAAAATTTAAAATTTTAATACCGGTAACTCGAGTCATGATAAAAATGAGTTAAGATTAAGGCTCTAGAAATAGGATGATTTTACAATGACCTAAGTCAGGACACTTTTAGTAGATTGAGCACTCCAAAATTGTAAAATGCAATCAAAGAATTGAACCTTAGTGCTTCCGAACTAGATTGATCCCAAGAGCTAGTCTAGAGGGTCCCAAAAATGAGATTCTAAGATTTATAACTATCTGGTTGCCCTAAGAACCTCGTTAACCTCCATGAGACCCAAGAAAATATCGAGATAACTTACCAAGTGTACATTAATGTGAACGGTGTCACTAGAGCCAAGGTCACTTTCTATTTCTTCTAGTGCAAGATAAGAAACTAATAATGCCCGGTTACCGACCCCAAACTAGAGCCAAGGTCACTTTCTATTTTTTCTCATCTAAATTGGATAAATAATATAAATTTCACCCACCAACTTTTAAACGTGTTTAATAAATTAAGATTTAAATATTAAAAAAATGAATCTTTATCTTAAATATAAATAAAATTAGAAAAAAAGAAAAAAAATTAACATAGAAATGTGTATTAAAAGAAAAAGTAGATTTGAGAGGGTGGGCCCACAATTTGGAATAGAAATAGAAGATTGAGGCGCAGAGGCTTTTTGATTGTGTCCAGTGGGTCCCATCCTTTTTTTTATTTGGAGAATATTTTATTTGGGTAATTTCGCGAAGAATATGCAAATTATTCATACAATACTTTGTTTGATATTCTAGGATTCTACTGACATGACTAAGTTTAGTTGAACACGACTCTCCAGATGAGCATAAACTCTCCTGATTTTGCCCGGGCTTCAGGATAATATTCCTGATTTTGCTCTGGGCTTCAGGATAATATTCATTGATTATAAACTCATGATCATTCCCTAAATTAACATTAAAACATTTGTAGATAATTTACAAGATGCTGATAGATGGTTTTCGTACATATATTGACTGGAAGATTTTTTTTTTTTTTTTTTTTTTTTTTTTTTTTTTTTTTTTTTTTTTTTTTTTTTTTTTTTTTTTTTTT